CATTTCTCAGTTAAATGCTGACCTTGTAATGGCATTATGGCAGGGAAAGGTCAGTTTCCATGTAACGCCTAGCATTAATTTTCCACCATTTTTCTCACAGCAATATAAGACTTAGAAGCAGGGTTTGACCCTTTGAGCCTACTCCACCACTCAATAAGCACATGACTGATCTGGTTATGGATCTCAACTCAACATTCTTCTCTATCAAAAATCTATCTATCTCCTGTCTTGAATACACAGCTTCCACTCTTTTCTGGATGAGAGCATTCCGCAGAGAAGCAAACAACCCAGAAAAGAATGGAAGCTGTTCCATTCAAGACAGGAGTTTTAATAAGGTAGACCTCGTATTCTTAACTGTGACCCCTTAGTTCCCATCTATCCCATAATTGGAAACATCCTCTCAGTAACTCCCTGACTGTGCTCTCACATGTTCACCTGGCCTCCAGTCTTGGATGAGCTTCAATTTCATTCAGCTAAACAGTGGAAAGTCCAAAGTAATCATCTTCACTCTGCCACATAGTCTCGACATAGATTCTACATTTCAATCCATCCTTCCCCCCAAAATCCCACTGGAGCAGGAAATTTCAGATAGAGAGGAGGACCATCTGACCCCATTACCTGAAGAATTGGTCATAGCATTTAATGCTTCTCTGCCTCCGAGACCCTCATGTTAACATCTAAAGTGAGGTAGGGTAGGAAGCAGTTCTTAAGTCCCCAGTAATTGGCCTCCACACAGCATCAGCTTTGTGTGTGTTTCTGTGAGTGCTTGTGTGCTTGTGTGCTTATGGGGAGGGGTGAGGAGATGTGGTGGGGGAGATGAGTGGAAAACCCTAAGCCTCCCCAGTCTCCTGTAAACCTGCAAACACATATGGAGCAAGCAAGACGGAAAGCCACCCTAAGGAACCTTGTGTGACCACCGCCCCAGGGCCTGCAAACAGCTGAGCAGGACACATAAAATTCTGCTCCCAATTATTATCCTAGAACTCTAGATTGTTAGTCCAGCAGCTTCAGCACTGTATTACTATATTCCTGTTTTCTTGAGCAAAATACTTCAAGGATCCTTTCAACAATCTGAACAGTAAGATAACGAGTGAGTTTTTTTAGCAAAAGGCATCTAAATCTTGCCTTGCGCAGAAAGCAGCAATTACAATGTGTTTGCTTTTACTTCCCTCTTCATTTTTGCTGATCACAATCTTGATTGAAGACAGGAGGGCTCAAGTAGTTACTGCTGTGACAGTGTGACTTGCAAATATTACAAAACAATCATTTATTAAGCTACATTCCAGTACCTCAAAGAAAACAAAAAAAACTAGTTAGTGTCTGTCAATCTGCAATCTATAAGCTACAGAGGCTGAAAGTGTAGAGATTGTGTCTTTTTAATTTTCTGCATTTTTAATTGTGGACAAAAATGGGAACACAACTGTTTTAGAGTCAACGATTGCTGCATTTTGAAAGCGAGTAACCTGCTACTCATTGTAAGCACTGTTTACACAGCTGCTAGTTCAAGCAGTAGTAGAAGGTGCAGATGATTTGGAGCCACACCAACTCAGTAGCTCATTGATCTATAGACTTGCGACCAGTTATTGATGACAAAGACCTCTGCCTGCCAACAACTATGTGATTAGTTCATTGGTGGCTGAACAGCTTGGGGTAGCGACCAAGATGATGAGAAGCTATCAGACCTCCACCAACTCAGGAGACCTTTCTATTCTCTGCAGTAAAACCACTTTAAGCCAGAAGGGAATCAAATTATTTCTCTTTCAGCTGTTACTGGAGGTTGTGACTTTTAACTAATAAGTTTGAGACCATTTAAAAGTGTGAATCAGTCACCCCTTATCTTTTTAAGGCTAGTGATACCAGCTGGAAAAGGAAGACCAAGAAGCAGTGTTGTGATCAGCACAAGGATCATCTCAGTGGGTCCTACGAACACAGAATTGCTTTTCAAGTCTTCCTTCCACCCATATTTTTCCCTATTATATAGAACAGAATCCCTCACAGTGTGTAAGTAGGCCATTCAGCCCATTGAATTCACACCAAACCTCTGAAGAGCATCACAACCAGACGCATCCCCTGACCCAATCCCTGCATTTCCCATGGCTAATCCACCTAGCCTGCATATCTTTGGACTCTGAGGGGAAACCCATGCAGACACGGGAGAATGTGCAAACTCCACACAGACAGTCACCCAAGGGTGGAATCAAACCCAGGTCCCTGGTGCTGTGAGGCAGCAGTGCTAACCACTGAGCCACTGTGCCACAATCTCTATGTGTGTGCACATGCAAGGGGGGGTTATTAAGGGTTAGAGGTTTAAGTAGTAGAGTTATGTGTTGATGGTTCATAATTGCTTACTTGCAGTTAGAGTCTATTTACTTGTAATGAATAGTAATTCCTGTTCAATAAAGAAACCTGATTCATGTTTTCTGTCAATCTGTGTCTGAAGATCAGGTAAATTGGGGAGTTCTCCATATTTTACAAATCTTCAACTTTTGTGATGAGTCTGGAAATAGAGAAGCTTGATTTCCAGTGGACTACCCCAGTGAAACGTAACACAAGCATTACCTCACTGAAGAATTGATTTCTGGATGCGCAGCTCGAAATCACAGCCCATATCCACTTACTAAGTTTGTTTGGAGTGATGTGTAAGTCTTGCAGCTTCTGACTTGGACTCAGGAATGGTACCACCAGAGCTGAGTGTTTTCTACAATCCAGATATATGGATTCTATGCTTATAATGGCAAACATCTACTGTTCTTCATTAAGTAAGAAGGCAAAATACTCCAAAATTCACCAGTTACACTTTGCTTGCCTTCTTAACACTGCACCAACAGTGTACAGAGGCAGAGTTTTGAGTTTAGGACTATATTCACTGGAGTTTGGGTGAATCCTATTACATACAGAAAGCAAGTATCTCCACAAATCTCATGAAACCTCTAAAACTATAGAATCCCTAAGTGTGGAAGCAGGCCATTTGGCCCATCGAGTCCACACTGACCCTCTGAAGAGTATCCCATCCCCCTACCCTATCGCTGCATTTGCCTTGGTTGATCCATCCAGCCCACACATCCCTGGAGACTATGGACAATTTAGCATGGCCAATCCACCTAACCGGCACATCTTTGGACTTCTAATGGACTTCTTTGAAATGCTAACAGAACTGGACAAGTAAATGTATAAGGAATGTTCCCAATTACCAAGGAGACCAGAACCAGGAGGTCACAGTCCAAGGATACCGCCTAAGAAAGTGGAAACTGGGGACTGAGTTGGATGATCAGTTGTGATCATGTTGAATGGTGTAGCAGGCTCAAAGGGCTGAATGGCCTACTGTTGCTTCTATATTCTGTTTTCACTATAAGACCAACGACTAGTACTCATCTTGTTAATATGTTGCTTTTATTCATATGTCAATTCCCAGTCTTCCAATGTTGGACAGCACTGACTTATAACTATAGCAAAATACCTGGAGATGCTGGAAATCTGAAATTAAAAACAGAAAATGCAGGAAATGAAGCTTTTCCCCATAGTATAGGAGTCTAAAGCTAGAGGGCATAAGTTTAAGGTTAGTGAGAGATACAAAAGGGTCCAGAGGGGCAACTTCTTTCACACAGAGGATGGTGTGTTTAGAATGGGCTACCAGAGGTGTTGGTGGAGGCAGATACAATTTTGTCATTTAAGAAACATGGATGGGTAGGTATAGAGGGATATAGACCAAAGGCAGGCAAATTGGACTAGATTAAATTATGGAAACTGGGTGGCATGAACAAGTTGGGCTGAAGGGCCTGTTTCCATGCCGTAGACCTCTATGACTCTAAATGCCCAGCTGATTCATCCGTGCCTGTGGACGGAGGGGCATGAGTTAACGTTTCAAGTGACCTGCATCAAAAGCAGGAGGAAGACGGAAATGCGTTGCTCCATTATCCGTCTGTATGTCTCTCTCTCTCTCTAACTGTTCCCCAGTGGGAAGGTCAGTTCTACACAGGGAAGTCTGCATTTCACTGAAACACTTCCTAAACGCAGAGGAATAGCTCGCTTCTCCTCTCGCACGCTCTTCCAATGCACGCTTCAGATAAAGTTTGAAAAATAGCTTTGAATTCTGGTCATGTTTGTTTTGCTTTGTTTTATGTTTTGTTGTTTGTTTTCCGAGGGCTGGAGGGGTCGCGTTCAATGAAGTTTGAAATGATTTGTTTCTCTTGCAGTTTGAAATTGGAATTAAGCAGAGAATGGTGTGTGTGTGAGAGAGAGAGTGAGAGAGAAAGAGAGAGAGAGAACCACAAATCCGGGCATCATTTCATCGGGTTTGTCCATATCCCTGACAATCGGTCAATTACACAAATCCTTCTTCACCCTTGTCCCGATCAATGCCACCCACAAACCACCCCCCAAAAATCACTCCTCAGCCCTTGCCCCCAGACAGTTAGTCTACAGCTTTTAAAGGGATAAATAGACTGGGACTTACGGATGCAGCATCTATAGCCTTTTGACAGAACTGTAAAAAGACGAAAGAATGTAAAATCCATTCAGAGCCCAGTTTGTGTCTGCAACATTGATGAAATTAAACAACTCCCGGGGAGGGAGTCTGTCCTTCCTGCAGGGTACCCAGGGATCAGATCAAGGGGCAGGGAGAGACAATCAGTCCCAGAGAGGACAGAGACCCCCGCTCCCAGATCCCCCTCCCAATCCAACTCTCTGTGTGCAATGCAATATTGTCAGGAGGATCCCAGCAATGTCCTGTTCCCCCAGGTCTCAGTAATTGTAATCTCTCTCTCTCTCGTGTGTCTGTGTTGGGTCGCGGCTCTTTGGAGAGGGAGGGAGGGTGTTATTTCGTACTGGGATGTGGAGGAGGGGGTTAGTGGGGAAGGGAGAGGCGCCTGGATGTGAACACCCCCTCCCCTCTCTCTGTTTCTGTCATCTCCTGGATTTAGGGGTGGAGGTGGGGGGGCGGGTGGGAATCAGACGGAGGTCTGTATAAATAGAAGGGCTTGGAGAAGGAGGGGACACAGACTGAGAAACGGCGAGTGCTTTTCAGGCAAATGTAGTTCAGAGAAACACCGATAGCGTAAAGCAGTGGGTTAAAGCAGGGGGGAAGAGAGCAGCAGCGACTATCCCCAGCCTTTGAGTGATTTTTTTTTCCTTTTTATTTGTATAGTTGCTCCTTTGATTCCAACAACACCACCCCCCCACCCCCCAACTCTGTCTCTGCCAGCGTGTCCGCTGGAGGATGATTCCCGCCGGCTGTCTCTTTCTCTGGGCTACCTTGCTCATCCTGGGCTCCCCGAGCATTCACACCGCCAGATCCAAAATCAACTCCATCAAATCTCCGGCGAGCGAGCAAGCCGCTGACCAGATCCCCCCGGTCAACCGGTCTGTCGGCTTGCAGCCCGGCAAGCTCAGTAAGAAGAACCCCATCGCTAACCAGGTGAGTGAAAGATTGAGATCATCTGCAAAACAGCAACTCCCTTCCCCTTTTGGGACTCATTGAGATTGGCAAAAGGAGTTTCCCAGAGACTGCCTGCTTTATTAATAGGACTGAAAACCAAAAATGCTGGAAATCACCTATGCTGCCTGACCTGCAGTGGATTTCCAGCCTTTTTTTTGTTGTTTTTCAATACAGATTCCAGCATCTGCCTTAATTTGCTCCTTTATTAATGCTGCCTGTAATTTCCAACATTGTTTTTCAGTGCAGACTCCAGCATCTGCGGTAATTTGCTCCTTCATTAATAGCAGCATTGAGTAACAGGAGCAAAGAGGTGGTATTGAACGTGTAGAAGACACCTGTTGGACCTGGGTTGAAGTGCTGTGTTCAGTTCTTGGCCCACATTTCGGGAAAGATGTGAACGCATTGCAGTGAGAACGCAGAAGCGATTCACAAGAATGGTTCCAGGAATGTGAAACTTTAGAGATGAGGACAAAAGTTGGGGCTGTTCTCCCCGGACAGAAAAAGGCTGAGAGGAGATTCCAAAATCATGAGCGGCTGGATAGAATAGATAGAGGGAAGTTGTTCCTGACTGTAGAAGGAGTGAGAAGGAGAAGTATGAGGTTTAAGGTAATGTGCAAATGAAGCAAGGGTGACGTGAGAAAGTCTTTTTCACTCAGCCAGCGGTTATGTTGGGGTACATACTGCCTGGAAATGTGCTGGAGGCAAGTTCAAATCAGCATTTCCAGAAGGCATTGGATGTTTTTTTTTGATAGAAATAGTGTGCAGGTGTACGGTGGATAAAGCAGGAGATTGGCATTAGGTAATGATGGCCATTTGGAGAGTTGGTGCACGCACGATGGGCCAAATGGCCTCCTTCAATGCAGACACAATTCTGTGATTCTGTAGCGTGAAGCATCCAGCAAGCTTCGTTGAAAGTCTGCAGCCAGACATCCTGAAGGCAACTGCCTTGGGGACCAGGTTACCTCTGACCAGGACCAGGAATTGAACTGCCTTCCTGCTTCTTCCGCATGAGGGGACTTAGATTGATGGCGAAATCCTTTTATTTCTGACCATGCACTGGTGACCGGTAAAGAGAATGCCATAATACCCTTTTCACCAGATTAAATATGTTATGTTTTAAATTGAGGGAAATCAGTTCTGGGGTTGCTTGAATAGAAACTGAGGATATAACTAGAATAAGGTCAGTCCACAATTAATATCAGACAAGAATCATTTAATCCCAATTTGCAAAGTCTATTTTTACTCCCAACACAAACATGTTGAAAGGTTGCAGGCTTAGAACATAGAAGAAAAGAACAGTGATTTGATGGGCAGACTGAAGATCATGAAGGGATGAGTCAGAATGGATGGAGTCATAAAAAGAAGATATAATCTCCTTTCCAGTGTTGAAAATGTGTAGAATGAGTTGCGGGTAAATGTAAGGGAGGCCGGAAGACAGGGGAAGACTGTCATCCAGGAAGGATTAAGAATGCCACAGAATCAATGACTGAAGCCAGACCATCAAGGTGATGAAGTTGTATGAGGTTTAACCCATTTCCCCAATTTATCTTTTAAAGGAGTCCCTGTTTAAGAGAGTGAAGACTCTTGATTATATAAATGCCACTTGTTGCTTTGGCCAAAGTAGCACTGAGAGGGCAGGAGAAATCTCAGTCAAAACCCATGTCAACAATGGATACCAGGTAGGATAAGAAGAAAAAGATAGGGTTAAGTGGTGGAGAAAGAGGCACCTGAGATTTAGATTATTGGAAATTGTGTAGAGGATAAACACCAATGCTGACTCTGGATCAAAATTCTGTTTCTAAGCAATTTTAAAGTAATTCTCTGTAATATTGTACAATACAAGCAATTTGACTTTTTGTACATCTAGTTTATTGGCAATTCAAAACAAAACCCCTTTAAGATTAAGGGGAAAGTTTAACATCCAAAAATTGTGCACATTGTAAGGTTGGAGAGTTTTCTATGCCATGCAATGTTGCTTCAGCTTGAATAATCCTGCTACTGATGGCACATAATGTTACATGGTATGTGCAGCTTCTTCTTTTGGCAATATTTATTTTGGTGATTTCTCGATCTCAGTTGTGGTTCTGTTGGTGATACTTTTATCTCTGCATCAGAGGATTAAGTCCCACTGCAGAGATTTGCTCATTTAACGTAGGCTGGCATTTCAGTGCTGTTTTGCGGATGAGATGAAAAATCTGCTCTCGCAGTTGGATGTGAAGGTTCTGTGACACCATTCAGTAAACAATAGATGAGTCTCCTGTGTGGATCTGACCAATATTTATCCTTCTTCCAACAACTGATTGTACCAAGTATGAGCTGCTGTATGCAAACTGACTGCCATATTTTCTACGTTGCAACAGGGACAACATTTCAAAATACATCATTGGCTGTCATGCATGTTATGACATCCTGAGATTGTGAAAGGTGTCTTACCAATGTGAGAGCATTTTTATTCTTTGAACCATTATTTTGGTTTGTGTAGTGTTTTTGTGTGCAAGGGAGTAATATCATTGCATTTCAATGATAAAAGCTAATAACTGTAACAAACATGTCAACTTTGCACCTCCTGTGAGACTGATGTAGTGAAAATGCTTTTAATAATGAGGATTCATGTTTTCTTTGCTGTTACTTTACTGAAACTTAGGAACATAAATTGACTATTATTAGAAGTAAAGTTGAATAAATTATTCTTTTAGTTATTATGGTTTTAGCATTTGATATTAACGAACAAACATCGAGCTCATCATTCTTCAGTTGTCTTTGTTTTATCAATTCAAGTTGAACCTTGATCTTCTGAGTCATAGGTTTCAAAAACTGGGATCTCTTGAGGGATGCCTGTGGTGTTTGAGGTCTTTTGGTTGTATCACTGGAATTCTGCAGGTTTTTATTTTGTGTTTACTAACTCGCTAGAACGTTCACAGAGAGCGTGCTTCTGTGTTCTTTCAGATAGTTAATACTGTCTTTTAGATGTTAGTACTGGGGTGGGTCAGGAGTGAAGCAATGTTTGTGGTGAGTGGAATCATGGGGAATTTGCCAACATTCTTCTGGTAAGAATTTGAAAATCACTGCCCTAAACACATGGCAAGCAGCAGATTACCACCCAAGCAGCAATGATGAAATTTACCCCTAGGTGTCAGCTCTAATATCAGTGGCAGCTGTGACTCAGTTGGTAACACTCTTGCCTAGGATACTAGTATACTTGTTTCGATATGTGGGCACATAAAAATGAGTAACTTTACAAATATCTTTGGAGGTAATTGGAAAACCACTGAAGTAATGGAGGCAACATATTCTTTACTGAAGTATATGTAAAGAAAGAACATGTATTTATAAACCATCCTTCTCAATCTAGAAATGCGCCAAAACACTCACAAATAATGAGGTAGTTTTTAAAATGTCACTTTTGCAATGCAGGAAACATAAAAGTCAACTTTCATACAATGATGACCCATAAACAGCCCTTAAATAAAGGTCCAAATGATCTTTCTATTTGTTAGTTGAGAGACATAAATTGGCAAGAACACCAGGGAGGTCTCTCATGTTCTTCCTTAAGTTTATGCTGCAGGATCTTTACATTTGTCTAAAAGGGCAGAGAAAACCTTGTTTTAACACCTCATCTGAAAGATGGCACCTCTGACAATACAGAACCCTTTAGTACTGTGAGGTATATCCTGTATAAATGTTCAAGATTCTGGACTGGAACCTGAACTTCTTGCTCAGAGGCAAAAGTGCTATCCAGAGCCAGGACTGACAATTACTGTCAAAAATTCAGTCTGCAAGTGGATTGATTACTTACATTGAGCACTGTTGCATGAACATGTATCAGAGGGTATTAATGTACATACAAATCTTAGTTGGTTGGAATGAACTTCACAAATCAAAGGCAACACCAAATCTGAGAGATAGTAAGAACTGCCACTGCTGGAGTCTGAGATAACACAGTGTGGAGCTGGAGGAACACAGC